TTAACCCAAACTCAACTCGTGTAAATGGGTCCAAGATATGTAAATACTTATATACTGAGGTGTCAGTAACGGTAACAATGTGGCGAGTTCAATGGTTTCTCATCTCAAAAAATTCATTGTTTTGTTTGTTTTCACTTTAAAAATTAGTTGCCACAGACTGCGTACCTATATAGCCTTAGTATTTTCAAGTAGTTACAGTGAAATTAGTCTCGAGAAATTTTTGCATATGTAGTGGTGTGTATATTACTCAGATCTTAGAGCGCGTTTCCACTATATCGTTCTGGCCTATACAAAAATGTTTCGATATCCTAACATTACTATTTAATTTTATACTTATCCCTAGCAACACTCTGATTTTTGTTTTCAATAAAAACAAGTTTTTATTTTAAAGAAAAAGGTTTTGACTTTATAAAAAAAAAGGTGTGTGTGCGATTCACACACGATAGAAGTGAAACTTCAAAGAGGAGAGACCGATATTTTTTTTTTTTTTTTTTTTTACTTTCATCTAGGTTTTTAAAACTCTGGGGGGTCTACGGGGGGGTCCAAATTTTTGTTATTTTTGGCCTAGGACGCACCGTTTCCGAGATATTTCAATCTAAAGCAAAAAATCGTCACTTGATAGTGGAAAGTGGAAACACGCACAACCATACACTACTACAAACGCAAAAATTTCTCCAAGCTAATTTACCTGTAGGTAGATAGCTGCTGTTCAAAAGGCGGCAACGCACTCTATGACCTTTAAGTTGCAGGTGTTTATGTGTGACGGTAGTCACTTACCATCAGGTTGGTCACCTGGTTAAGTATTTAAATAAACCTTCACATCAACAGCCTTTAAATGGTCCACTGCTGGATAGGCCTCTCCTTAGAAAGGAGGTTTTGACCTACTGTACCACGCTGGCCAGACGGGTTGGTATATGGTTTGTTTCCTTCTTTTTGCAGTGCTGGTGTCCTGCGTTGTTGTGCGCCCTTAGTCGGCTCTTACAACACCCACGGGATGAATTGGGGTAGTGACATTCCGTATTCTTAATCCGTCACTACACGGACATACACGCAATAAGCCTTAATCACTGAATACTCTTTTTTATTGCAAGGAAAAACACCTTTAAACTCCAAAAAGGTCCATGGCTTTAGTCATTTATTTACACCACGTTACACCAACTGAATTTTGTCAACAAATAAATACGTAAGAGAATTTATTTAATTTCACACTTCTGTGAATCCGACATCAGGTAATGAAATCATCGTTAATGAAAATTTTCCATTTAAATGTAAAATTGAAAACAAGGTGAAATGAAATAGGAGAAACATTACGAGTATTGCTCAACGTTTTAGAACCATTTCATTCGTGCGAACTTTAAATACTTCTGTATTCGAATTTATCTGTATTTTGTAAAGATCACACAAATACCCATTTATACGATTTCAGCCTTCTCATATTTGTGATGTTATTTATATCATTTTTAGTTTTTGCCCGCGACTCCGCTCGCGTGTATTTCGGTTATTGCGGTAAACAGTGGCCTATGTTACTCGCTGATATAAATTGTTTAGTGGTTTAGGCATTAATACTATTGCTTTATTTATTTATTTTAAGCATTTATTGTAAATAACTGTCATCATCATCATCATCAATTTTGTAGCTAACAAGATTAATATCTATTAAGACTTTTTTTTAATGCAAAAAATAAAAAAGGTTGCTTGTGTAAATGCCCTTTTTGGCATGAAATGGTCTCTTTTAATTAAGGCAGCAAATTAAATCTTTGTTATTGTTAACCCTAATATAGTACGGTAGGTGTATTCATAAGGAGATCCCAATAAATATAAATAAATAAATATAGGAGCTAATATAATCACATAATTTCACTTATTTACACGTATTTCCCAAAATCAACAAAACATCCGGATTCAAGGATTGTTTCCTTCCTGGCCGGTCATTAGCAGTTGCCACGTGTTGTGACATAAATAACCCAGCGTTAGTCCAACGGTTATAATGATGCGCCTGCGACGATGATATTTCGAGTGTAAGGGAGATGCGTTGTGGGGACGCGTCTTTAGATAGTTTTATTTACAACTAGTTTTTAGCTGCGGTTTTGCTCGCGTTAATTATTTTGTCACTTGAATTTCATTGTCTTTAAAGTTTCTTTATAGTGCAACATTCGCAGTTTTTAAAACAACATAAATAAAAGGAAATCTACCATTTTTTTTTCAACCTTCCTCCGAACCTTTTTTCCCAAATTAGGTTGTGATCGGTTTTTTTTTTTTTTCTCTTAAAAAGACAACTCCCGCACTAGGAATAAATCCTGTGTCGCGGGGGACTTTACAAACATACATGAAACGGACACAAAGTACACCTAGACTCAGAACAACAATTTGTGGATCACACAAAGTGTTGTCCCATGTGGGGTTTGAACCCACAACACTCGACGTACTAGGAAGCGGCGTGGCGACCGCTTAAACCACTACGCCATCTGTGCAGTCTACTGTGTAATATGCTTTAAGTCTACTGTGTAATATGGCATGGCGGCAGAACTTAGGCTATTTACGCGGAGCGACTGCTTTCAGACCTCCACAACCCACATACTTGGCGATATCGAAGTTCTGTAGAAATACTTGTCGAACTTTTTAGATCTCCAACTACCCGTAACGATTAAACCCGTAAACATGCTCTACGAGGCTCGGAAGGGTCTCAATGCAATATGATAAGAAACCCATCCATAGAGTGACCTGGCTAGGATTGCTTAACTTTGCAATGTGTATACTCGGTAAGCTTTTTTTTTTTAAAAAAAAAAAAACATTTTTCTTCATAGACAGTTTTTTTTTTATTCTACAGTTTTATGACTACTTCCTCACTCATATTCCACAGCGCTGGGAGTCGCTTTAAATTCCTAGAAAATATTGCTTTTGATCAGATCTTATAGTTGTATACCCACCAGTTGGCTTTCGTCCATGCTACGAGTTTTAAGTCCATGCTTCACATTTTCAACTTCTGAAGTTCCGACAAGACAGAACATATGCCGAAGAGCATGGATTTTAAATGACGTCATCATAAGCTACTATTAATAAACTAATCTCGTAGGGTACTCAAAGTGACTCAGCTCCTTAACATAGCTCGCTTGACATCGACCCAATAAAACAAAGTCTCGAAAGTCTTTCAGAAATTACATTTCGTGAAAAGGAAGGAAGGATTTAAAGAATCTACCGGTACTTATTTACGATACACACTGTGAACCAGATATACCTCACATTCGTATGTGAGGTAAGTATATCTAAATACAGGTTCTGGTTTGGCATCACATAGCAGTCTGTCTGATGCCAAACCAGAATCCTGACTGGTGACGAGAATACTTATAAACACGTATTACTAAATCAAAAAATTACACCCATATATAGACGTTATTTGTCCTGGTTGGAAAACAAACCCACAATTTTTGACTACGCATTCAGGACTACTAAAACTTATATTAACGACTTGCCTATTGGTCTAGTGGTTAGTGACCCTGACTGCTAAGCCGGAGGTCGTGGGTTCGATTCCCATTGTGTGATGAGCACGGTCATTTGTTCTGTGTCTTGGTGTAATTTATCTATAATATGTATGTATTTAAAAATATATAAGTATGTTTATCAGCGGTCTGGTTACCATAGTACAGGCTCTGCCTAGTTTGGGATCAGATGGCCGTGTGTGAGATATATTATTATTATTATAAACTCATCAGCATAAGACTCGGCTATCGAAAATCTCCAATGAGTTTTGGATTATTGGAAGTGGCTGGTGGTGCTGGTATACTCTTACTTTTTCTCTCAAAAGTCCACTGACCTTTAAGAAGGTAGAGGCTTACCTACATACCACTCAACTTATTTTCAGAATTTCAGAATTCAAGTTTTTAGTACTAATAAGACACTAGTTAGTTAGTTAGTAGTTTAGTACTAATACTAGTGAGACAAAAAATGCATATAGTACTTAAAAGTAAAAGCCCTTTGCATTTGTTTTAAGTAAGAAAAAACTAAAAACAAACTATTTTTGAACTATCTTTAAATTTCTACAAAACTACATAAAAACGACCTTCGTATCTAGATAAGTCGGTAAATCTGTCATCTAGATATTAAAAAACATAAAATAAAACGTGTTTATGAAACATTTATTGTGATTTTCAGAGAATGTGTCATATATTATGTTTAAATTCTACATTGGCTATTCATTACAATTGCGGCAACTATTTTCATGAGATATTTATGCCAAACATTAATTTACCAACAATAGTGTTGTTAAATTTCAAAATTGATTGTTGAAATCTTATGCTATTCGAGAACAAAGACGTTGACACAACAAGAATTATGTTAATGACAGACTAAAGTGGTTATTATATACATAATACACCAGCACTCAATGCAATTGTTTTTCGACTAAATCCAGATTGACACAAAAGAAAATCTATCGCATAGGAATGTTTGCGTCTTTAGAAACAATCTTAGCAATGTACATCCCCTCTGCTTCAGATGCCGCAGTATTTTGGTATTAGAGTCTCGGGGACAACTTTGGACGCTATCCAGTTGGGATCACGCGCCGCGAACGCGCAAACGCCGTTTATCGATCGTAAATAAAAATTACAAAACATAAATAGACTGTGACATTTTTTATAATCTGTGCAATTTTAAATTTAAATATTCCAATATTGTGTAATAAATCAAAGTAAGTAAAAAAAAAACAAGTGTTCCAAATTTCAATTTTAACGTTGTTGACAGTTGTCACATTTTGTATAGTGTGGTTTATTGCTTAAAATAAAGATTCTATTGTTAAAAATGTACAAAGATTAAGAACACAAAACAGTGTAGTGCATCATAAAATCTGAGTGCAAACAAAACTATAAAACTGCAACTATTTTGAGCACGTCGAGCATAAAACGAGCAAACCGATGGTCATAAACAAAATGGCCACTAACCGGCACGCGACTTCGTTTATAAATCTCCATATGTTTATTTGTACTTTCATCTCGCTCTTATTGCCGATGGCGAACGAAGGTGCCTCGAATGTTTACGTTGATTCCCGATCTTTCCCGAAAGACGATGGAAAGCGTTTGACAAAGGAATACCACCTAAGACAAGGCGCTCTGAGAGGTCTTATAGTGAAGCCTAGTAGACAATATGACTTACAACATGTGGAGATGTTTCTGGGTATTCCTTATGCTGCTCCACCTACGGGTAGCCTGAGATTTATGCCACCAGGTATGTTAGATTTTGTTTAAGTTTAACTTGTATACATTTAATTTATTCAATTACCCGCTATTTTAATTAAATACTACCAACTGTAGTACATTAAGATTCAATTTATATATTTAGGTAAGAACAGAAAATTAGGCAAATCTTTTCTGAGTTGACCTTAGCAATTGTGATTTAATATCAATAACAAACAAACAAAACAAACACACCCAATACCAAACCGTTTGGGCAGCGTGCTATATTAAGCCTAAACCTCATTTCTAAAGAGAGGCCTATGTCCAGCTTTGGACTACTAAAGTACTGGACTATTGATGATGATGAACCCACTTCTGATCAGTGGGTGGGTTCTGACATATCTTTCGGGACGAATTTAATTTAATTGACACATAAAAAGAGAGAGATTAGAATAGCGCTCGGACAACTTAGTAATCAAAAGCTTCTTGAGAAGGCGGAATTACAACCTTCTAAAAGCCGGAGAACTCCTACGTTAGATAGATAGATAGATAACTCTTTATTGTACAAAAAACATAATAAAAAAGAAGAAATCAGTTTGTATACATTGTGTATCTTATATCTAAAGTTAAATTATTGTAACATGGAGAGTAAAGTATTAAAATTTGTACAATTGGCGGCCTTATCGCGTTTTGCGATCTCTTCCAGGCAACCATTGGATGGAGAAGGAGAATAGGAGTGAGATAGGGGGTTGCAGTTTGTAGATCGGAGTTTTTGTAAATTAAGACTATTTGATTATACAAACTAATTCAAACATATACACTAGACACATACACACATCACTACACAATAAATTCATTACACAAAATATACATTTAACAGAGACTATAGAAGTAACAGACAGATAAATATAAGATTTCTGACTGAGTGAAGGGACCCTCGCTTAGCAGCTTCGGAAATGCTCCTTCAGCAACCTTTTGAAACAAGGCAGTGTTTGTGCTCGTCTGATGGGCAGTGGCAATGCATTCCATAAGCGTATAGACTGCACTGTAAATGACTTGTCCATAAAAGTCGAGGTGTGCTTCGGCATTTCCAAAGTCAAGCTCTCTGACGATCTTAAGGACTTTGAATGCGTATCACGTAGGAATCTGAAGCGTTCCTTTAAATAAAGGGGAGTGTTGGGATTAAAGAGAATATTGTATAATAGTGAAAGGATATGAATATTCCGGCGAAGACGAATGGGTAACCAGTTAAGCTTATTCCGAAATTCAGAAATATGGTCAAATTTGCGCAATCCAAAGATGAACCTTATGCAAAAGTTTTGGAGCCGCTCAACCTTATTAAGTTGGTCTTCGGTGAGATCGGGATAGCTGGTATCTGCGTAGTCAAGGATTGGGAGAAGAAGGGATTCTGCAAGCGCAATTTTGGTCGTAATTGGTAAAAAGTTACGCAGCCTTCTCAGAGATCCAGCAGAAGCAAACAGTTTCCTACTGACTTCTTGTAGTTGCGGACCCCAGGACAAGTTTTTATCGAGGTGAATTCCCAGATTTTTTATGGTGTTCGAGATCGGAACTAAGGCCCCATCGCAGTATATTTGGGGCTGATGTGACCAATCGACTTTTGATAATGTCCTAGTGCCACCGATAATGATTGCCTGTGTTTTAGATGGATTCACTATTAACCCGTGTTGCCTGCTCCACGTACAAATCTGCTCTATATCCCGGTTAATAATCGAGATCGCTGCTCCTAGTTGTTCCACGGGTGCTTGAGCATAGATCTGCAAATCGTCTGCATAAAGGTGGTAAGATGAAGCTAAGCTATTGGAAATAGAGTTTATAAAAACCGCGAAGAGCAAGGGAGATAAAACGATACCCTGTGGTACGCCGGCAGTTGTAGTGCACCAACCAGAGAGTCTTTCATCGATTCGAATACGCTGCCGACGCCCGAACAGGTAGTTACGAAACCAGTCAACAACCGTCGGAGATATGTTAAGAGAGCACATTGTGGCAAGCAAGACGTCGAAGTCAACAGTGTTAAAGGCGTTACTAAAGTCTAGCAGCGCCAGCACAGTTAGCTTGCCATCCTCAAAGCCTGACCGTATATCGTCCGTGATATGAACCAGTGCGGTGGTGGTGCTATGTCCAGGACGAAAACCAGATTGGAGGGAATTTAGAAGGGAATTTTTACAAAGATAGGGATTAATTTGGTTGTAGACAAGACGTTCGAGAGTTTTAGATAGGAAGGGTAGGATAGAAATCGGACGATAATCGGAGAAACTGGATGGATTTGATTTCTTAGGTAATGGAGTTACTAATGCTTCTTTCCAAGCAGTTGGAAAGTTTCCGGTTGCCATGGAGAAGTTAAATATGTGAACAAGGACAGGAATGATTTCCTCTAGGATAGGCAGGATCATATCACGGCTGATACCATCGCTACCAACTGCGTTGGAGTTAATAGAGAGTATGCTCTTCCTAACATCACAATCGGAAAATTGACTAAAGACAAATGTAGGAGAGTCTGGAGTTGGGAGAGAAGAAAGATATTGTATCGTGTTATTTTTTATTGTCCCGTCAAAAGGAGACGATGTGGAGAAGTGTTGATTCATCAATTCGATATTTACGTTTTTGGAAGCCGTATGTTGCCGTGACTTCCCAACTCCTAGTGATCGAAGAAACTGCCAGACCTTGGCCGGATCCCCATGTTCAACAGAGGTATGGATAAATTGGCGTTGTGCATTCCTACACACCTTGTTGCTACGTTAGTAGAGCTCGCAAAGCTGTTTAATTCAACTATACATACTGGCACAGAAAACTACCGCCCCATATAACACCTGAGCCATGTGTACAAGTTGTTACGGATCGGCTTCCCTAAAACTTCCAGCCCGATGAGCAGGCTGGGTTTCTTAAAGGCTTCAGCACCGTGGATCACAAAGAAGACAAGAATACCGTGGATCACAAACAGAGAAGACAGAAGAATACAATCATCCTCTCTGTCTATCGTATGTGGACTAGGGCCTTTTATACCATTAAGACTTGGGCTGGAATCTATGCAGAGATGCCTGAACGAAGCCGCAACAATGACCGTCCAAGTACAAAAATAGAGCACAAGACCAATTCAATTGCATCGCGGGATTAGATAAGGAGACGTTATTTTTCCGGAACTTTTTACCAACGCATTGGAAAACGTCTTCAAAGCGCTCGATTCGACAGGGAATCATATATGAATATGTTAAAATAATGATATATGGAGCCAAAACGTGGACACTCACCATTGGACTGGTCAAGAAGTTCAAAGTCGCTCAGCGAGCGACGAAGCGTGCAATGCTTGGTGTTTTTCTAGTCTATAAAATTCGAAACAAAACAATTCAACAGAAAACTGGAGTAACCGACATCTCACAGAGAATCAGAATGCTGAAGTGGAATTGGGCCGGTCATGTTTTCAGGTGGACTAATGCTAACATGTGCTAGAGTTGAGACCACAATTGGGAAAATGTAGTGTAGGGCGACTTGCTGCACGATGGACTGATGACTTCAGGAATATTCAGTATCCAGTATTCAGTATTCAATATCCAGAGTAAATTCAAAGATGATAATGTAACTAGACAGTCCCTCTTCCATTACATTTTCGAATCATGGGACAGACTTATAGGGCCTTCCCTAGCCTCTTCGAGTTCCTACAATCTGTCTCAATTCCTATCGAAGATTTACGGTATTCCTTACCTCAGCGTTCTTGCTATATTTATTTTTCGCTCCCCAATGTGGTGACGAATTAAGGATGCGACCACCCCTATTCATCCCGTGGGTGTCGTAAGAGCCGACTAAGCAAACTACGCAGGAAAACAGCACTGCAAAGAGAAGGAAAACTTGAAACAAACCCTATACCAACAAGTCTGACCAGCGTGGTATAGAAGGCCAAAACCTCCTTTCTAAGGAGAGGCCTATGTCCAGCAGTGGACTGTTATAGGCTGTTGAAGTGATGTGTAGTGAATGCTATTGAACATCAGAAACAGAAGGTCAAAAAATGATAAACAGTTTATCTTCTGACTCCTAACCTTTACAGTATCTCCCTAAAAATGTCGTTCGACATTGTTGGATTGAGAAAAAACCTCACGATAACAGATGAAAATACTTCTCAAGATATGAAAAGTAAACCGAATACTAATGAGTTTAAACACGTGTCGAAGTGATACTACTTTAATTATGATGTTTTTTATAGACCTATACCATACTAAACTAAACCACAGACAGAACTTTAAATCAGCTCATGTCCTAGTGGCTTCTCCAATTAATTACAGGAAAGCTAACGGGAACACGCTGTCGGCCCGAGCTACTGCAGTCTCTTAGCCGAGACTTTCAGTGTTCATTACTGTTGAGTAACTGAAAGATAAGGCATAACTTCAAAGAAGTTCTGCCCCATCAACATTAACTTTCCTTTCAAAAACCGGTTTACTTAAAAAATGTATCATAAATTACATGCAATAGAAATTAGTAGGCCAAAATAACTGAACGAAATTCTCAAACCTTGATTTTTAACTTTAATGTTATTTTTACTTAAACTCGCTTATTTTAGTAGTTTCTAGACCGATTTCGAAAAGTCTTTTTGTATTATGTTATGTCCCATTATCTGAGATACACGTGATTTTAAAAGCTATCTTTCTGTAGAACATTGAATTGGGAGAATCGCTGTTTAGATTTATAACAAACATGTCAGTTGCTATAAATACAAAAGCTTAAAGGTTCTGTTCCTAGAACCGATATTAAAATGCGTTCATGAACTCATTACAAAAATACTAATCAAAGAACTTTTACCTTAGTTTTAATGTATTATCTACCAAATGAAATATGTAGTACAGGTTTTTTTAAATGTATAATTCATAAAACCCCGTTGATAGCTTTTAAATAGATTTTTTTTTTATACACACACTAAAGAATACAATTTTTTTATACTGAAGTACGTTTTTACGGCGAACCTTATGTATGAAGTTGAGAAGATCCTTTTTGCGGATCTCATTGAATTTCTAGATCTCTAAACTTATATCCAAGCATCGAAAACAATATTTAGAACATATCGAGTCATGAAGGAAGAAGAACGTACTTTATACAACCATAAGAGAGTGATATCACGGTTTTACGGCAAACCAGTATGAGATAATTCTTTGCCAACTGAATGGTCAACCATACAGTCCCTGAAATGCAACGAAACATTTTAATCCGCTGTTTACAGAGGAATAACTTCTCCTCTCCCAGTCATATTCTGGCGGGAGCATTATAATAATAATATTTCGGACATCTGATACACAACGCCATCTAGTTTCAAACTAAGCAGCGATTGTACTGTAAAAACTAAATCGATTGATAGAATACTTGTCTACTTTTTACTTGTAAATACATACATATTATACATAGAAAAAAACATTTGTAGATCCCGAGACCTCACCACAGAAGTCGCATATGCTACCACTGCACCACCGATGTAGTCGAAGTTATAAGCATTGAAAGGCAACGTACTTGTTGTCAGGTGACCCCTTTGCTCGTTTGCCACTTACAACCTTAAAAACGTTAGTTAATAATATAAAACAAACCGCAAATAGCCACGTCAACGGACCATTAAATTGTGGTAGCTGTAAAAACAAATTACATAATAATTGACGACCGGATGGCGTAGTGGTTTGTGTAACGGACTGCTATTCCAAAGGTCGCGGGTTCGATTCCCGCTCAAGTCAAACATTTGTGTGCATGAACATTTAATGTTTGATTTGGTCTGGGTGTTTCTATGTATAATATGTATGTATTTACAAAAAAAAAGTATGTATGTATTTATATCAGTTGTCTAGTACCCATAGTACAAGCTCTGCTTAGTTATGGACTAGATGGCGTTGTGTGAATGTGGTACAATATTATTATTATTAATAATTATTTACAAATTTTATCGTATGAGCAAACTGAGCAGTTACTTAAAACCTTTACGCGGGGTATACTAATACGTAGAAAAACTACTTCGCGTTATGACTAAACTTCATTTTTGATTAGCTTTCAGTCTAAGTGTATTTGCCTAAGTCACAGTGTGTCTACTTCGTTTAAGAATTACGTCGCTTTATACCTGAATCTAATCACGTAAATAAAAAAACTCTGAACGGTGAGTGCATTATGTTTGACCCACTTACTCGTATCCCTGGTGTTGCTAATTACTTATGAAGGCTTTTAAAATGTTATAATTAAATTATACATAGTTATGTAGATTTATATGAATAGCTTGTAAGCGCTTCTTCGCCCGAGACACAGATTCAACCAAGTTCGGGCAAACAAACAACAAATGTATTTTATTAATAAATTAGAGAACCATTCATTACAAATTATTGTACTCTATATCCAAATAAATATTGTTATTATTATTATAGTCCGTGTGGTGACGGATTAGAGAATACAGAGTGTCACCACCCCTATTCATCCCGTGGGTTTCGTAAGAGGCGACTAAGGAAGCAAACTACGCAGGACAACAGCACTGCAGAGAGAAGGAAAGCTTGAAACAAACCCTATACCAACCCGTCTGGCTAGCGTGGTATAGTAGGCCAAAACCTCCTTTCTAAGGAGAGGCCTATGTCCAGCAGTGGACTATTGAAGGCTGTTGATGATCATGATGATGGTTCTGCCACTAAAGTTTTTTGTTGATGAAAATGTTCTCGCTAATACTGTCTATTTCGTAGATACGTCTAATAGAAAAGCGTAATTTGGCTTCATAATTATTTATTATAATCCACTACTATATGATGGATGCATTATAAACCTAATGCTATTAAATTTACCAGCTAAAGTGCTAAATGTAGCCATACCTATTCATCACTTCGTTTAGCAATAATATGCTAAACAGTTGAAAACCAAAACGTTTTTTCTTCTATGCACACCGTTTCATTTCATATTTATGTTAATCACACTGGTTTCGTTTTTATATTACAGTTGTAACTCAAATTTATTTCATTTAATTAAAATTTCAAATATACATTTGATTTCACTAAATGTGTTCCTTTATTACAGTTATTTTGTTTTTAAAGTATGCATAACAGAAGTTTTCATAAGTAAACAGTAACAGTAACTTTTCTTTAATTTCTTCTCTTTGGTGTAGTAGTTTTATTATTTCGACGCTTGAAAGTATATCCTTTAAATGCAAAAAATATATTTAATTCTGTCAATTTTTTCTGCTTCATATTATCATTAGTTTATAACTTAATTTTTAGAGTTATCATCCTTAGTTAGACATTATTGCTATTTTTAAATCATATTTATTTGATGAAATGATTGGTTTTGATCACAGAGATGTCACATGTGATTGTGATTTAGTCATAGACAAAAGATTTTCGCGAGTCTTGCGCTAGCGTAATAATAAAGTAGATGTGGTTTTGTAATGTGTGTGACCAAGGTTACTGGAGCACAAACCCTCCTCCCTATGATTCTGGGGTAAGGAGCTCAGCGTGTACTGCAACTTGTAACTGTTGATTTGCCGGTGTCCATGGGCGACGATAACCACTTATCATCAGATTACCCGATTGCTCATTTGCGGGGGCCAAATAAGCAGTCGGGTAATCTGATGGTAATAATAAAAATTTTTTTTTTATAGATATTATATTTTATATTATTTTTTATAATGTATTGACAATCCTGCCCGTGTGGTGTGGTGACGGATTAAGAATACAGTGTGTCACCACCCCTACTCGTCCTGCGGATGTCGTTAGAGCCGTCTAAGGAAGGAAACTACGCAAGACAACAGAACTGGAAAAAGAAGGAAACCTGACACACACCCTATACCAACCCGTCTGGTCTAGTGGTTAGTGACCCTGACTGCTAAGTTGAAGGTCGTGGGTTCGATTCCCACACAGGACTAATATTGTCCGATAAGTACTGTTATTTGTTCTTTATCTGGGTGTCATCATCATCATCAACAGCCTTTAACATTCCACTGCTGGACATAGGCCTCTCCTTAGAAAGGAGGTTTTGGCCTACTATACCACGCTGGCCAGACGGGTTGGTATAGGGTTTGTTTCAAGTTTTCCTTCTTTTTGCAGTGCTGTTGTCCTGCGCAGTTTGGTCCCTCAGTCGTCTCTTTTTGTCCGTGTGGTGACGGATTAAGAATACGGAATGTCACCACCCCTGTTCTGGGTGTGATTTATCTATATTATGTATATATTTAGAAATACATAAGTATGTTTATCAGCAGTCTGGTTACCATAGCACAGGCTTTACCTAGTTTGGGATCAGACTGCCGTGTGTGAGATATGTTATTATTATTATATTTATTTTATTAATTTGTACCTTACCTATGTATGATTAAAAGTAAATACAAGTTTTCTTCTTTGTTACAGTTAGTGCCCCACCATGGTCCGGCACCAAAATGGCTACCCGGTTCGCTCCTGTCTGTCCACAATCTTTTCCCACTATAAAGAAGGAGAACCCACCTTCTAAGGGACGACAGCTATACCTGAGTAAACTGAAGGCGTTTTTGACGAATGAATCCGAAGACTGTTTGTATTTGAATATTTATGTTCCTTATAGAGGTGAGTTTATTAACTTAGTAATTTAAGATGTAACAATTTAAAACGTGAGCGGTTGTGTCCGTTACAACCACAGTACGGAGAGTTATGTGACCACGACCTTTTTATAAATTTATTTGTTTGGTATACCAACAGCATTCATACACTGCATTCTTCAAAATAATGCTCATCTATATAATAGGTCTTTACCTATGAAATTGCCGTTTTGTATGCAATAAGTGAAAGTACTTATTTTTTCAAACTTTTTTATTTCTGTTATTCAAAGTAATCACCCATGCAATCGACGCATCTTTGCCAACGCATTGGCAAACTCACAATAAATACTCTTTATTAAAAGTAATAAAAAAACGTTGCTACTAATTTTTCAAAACCCCCTTAAAACGTACGTAAACTATTATTTATTTACTTGTCGAATTCAAACTTTCAGTACAATTATTTTCGTTATCAACAATAAGGATAAATAAATAAAAAACTACGTATGAGTGGAGTTGTTAAAAAACCGGGTTGAGAATTTGTACATGCATATTATAGTAGAGAAAATTCGAGAATTCCAAAAGATTTGTAACGTGATGCCTTACATTGCACCCGTGCGAAGCTGGGGCGGGTCGCTAGTAATGGATAAAACCTGGTATGCATGCCCATAATACAGAACATTTGACGTCGACATTTATGTGCATACAAATATTATGTCCGTGTGGTGACGGTATCACCACCCCTATTCATCCCGTGGGTGTCTAAGGGAGCCGACTAAGGGAGCAAACTACTCAGGATTGCAGCATAGCACAGATTTTTTTCGCTATA